TCCAGTCCAATAAATTAAGGAAATCACCAGCAGGGCTTAGAGACAAGTAGTGAACTTCTGAATCTGTGAACCGTTGGCTGCTAATCTAAAATCTTGGAGCAATATCACAAAGAAATGAAAATCTGTAAATCAGCTAAAGATAGAATGTTCAGTGAATCCAATAAGAAGACATTTAACAACTCAAGATTAAAAATCTATGGTATAATTTCATTTACGTTTTCCCCAGAGTTTATTAGTTACCATTGTGAGAGGCAATTCTTGAGAGTCCTCCAGACTCTCTTGCCCTGTACTTGTCCCCCACCCGCACCCTCAATGAAATCTTGTAAGCCATTTTTTTTCTTTTTGCTCAGGCATCCAAGAACATAAGTTTTGGCAGAAGAGCTAATGCCCTTGTAACGGTCATTTGTATATAAAGGTGTAATTATTTTTTTCCCATTTGTACCATATCAAGGCTTTGTACAATGTTTTATGTTCTGTTTTCAAATTATTTTGTATTTTATTTTTATAAACTGGTTCTAAATAAAATATTCATTCAGCATGCAAAACTGCAATCCTTGACTGCCTATGAATGATGAGTTTACTGTTTATAAAACTCCTAACCAATTATTTTTATAGCCTATTTCTTGACTGTTGTAACTCTGAACTTATAAATGGAGAGAAGCAGCACCAATTGTGTTATGACATACTTTTTTGTTTCTTTTTGTTACATAGAAAGTACACAGTGGAAATTTGTCGGTACTAGAGCAAGCAACAGTGAGATGTTCATGTTGCAAACTGGAGTGCTCCTACTGATTCAGCAGCCTCATACCCTGTATTACAGTGGAAAGGGTAGATACTTTAGCTTTGCTCTATTTCTTGCCCCACGCCCTCCATCCAACCAAGCAATGATTCTGCTACAGATCAGGTTCAGTGTGGTAAAAATATGGCAGATTCCAAATATGACATTCTGAGGCCCGGTCTACACTAGGAAGTTAATTAGTATAACTACGTCATTCAGAGGTGTGAAAAATCCACACCCCTGGGTGACACAGTTAAACGGACCTAACCCCCCAGTGTAGATGGTGCTAGGTCGATAGGAGAATTCTTCCGTTGACCTACCTACTGCCTCTCAGGGAGATGAATTACCTACGCCATCAGGAGAACCCCTCCCATCACTGTAGGTAATGTCTTCATTGAAGCGCTACAGTGGCATAGCTGCAGTGGTGCAGCTGTGTCGCTGAAGCAGTTTGTGTAGACACAACAGTCCCCTTGGTTACCTTCCCTCCAGTCAGAAATGTCTCTGTGGTCAGTGTCTTCATAGAGTGATGGCAATTATTCTCCGTAAAATAGCTGGCTCCGTAAGATGGTCCTGGCTGTTACTGGCCTTGCAGCCCCATGAGGAGAGCAGCCTCATTTGTGTACAATATATGTGAGCTGCAGCAATTAAGGAAGTGAAAGAAATAAGGCTGTTGTAGAATCCAGACAATTTTCAGTAACAGTGTTACCAAGTCACTGGTTGGTCTGATTAATGTTACTTCTGATATTCAGAGAAGATTTTCCTCCTTTCATATCTCTCTGGTAAAACAGGTACAGATAGGCTTAATCCCCTTCAGTGGTTATATTTGCCAGTAACATACGTGCATTTCTCATTCCCTATATGCTATATGTCTGATTTGTTACATGGCAAAATGGAATATTTTTGGTGAAGTCCACAGCGGCAGGGAAAAATTCCATCAGCGCTATTACAGCTGTAGCACCATCTACGTATGCTATGCCAGTGTCATGCTAGGTAACGGTAACACAAATTAAGAGGCCAGTCCTGACCCCATTAAAGTAAATAGCAATACTCCACTGGCTTCCACAGTAGCTGGAACAGGCCCTCACCTATTTTCTTTTATGCAAATAATCTCAAGTCACTTCACACGATAGGAAGCATAAATCTGGAATTCATTTACACAGTAATAATCCCAGAAAATGATGATGTCTTGGTTTAAAAGCAGGAAGGAATTTAGTGGCATGCTTCAGGAGGGAGAGGTTTCCCAGGCAGGCCTGCTGAAAGGAACATCTTGGATGTTGTATATTAGATCAGATGAGCACATAAAGGACTGACTGCTCAGGCATATAATGATGGGGTCAAAATAGCAATTCTATACACTCTGTACTGGAGCCAATTTACAGATCTTTCACTGCTCAAAACTTGGTTTAAAAGTGGATCATATCACAAGTGAAGGAGTTTGGTCTTAATCTGACCCCTGATTAATGTAAGTAAATGACACAACTACTATAGTGTCTCTCTGTATGCCTCGGTCATCATGATCACATTGGAGGTACTTGTCCACCTACTGTTCCTAGAGTCTCAGGAATTCCGCAGCACTTGACCTACAAACATTAGCTGTTTCTGAACTGAAAAATCCAATTGCTCATAGCAGGGACTTAAACTTCAGGGTGATAGAGGCCCAAGCTAGGTTCTACCAAGCAATGTTGCCACAGAGCAAATGCAGCAATTCAACAATTGGAGAAATGGACTTGAAAGAATGTTGAACAGTTAAGAAGTGGCTTCTGTAGTCTGGACAAGTTGGCAGTCACTGCCCAGAATGATTAGGTGAGCTTTAGAGCACAACATTTCACTAATCTAACTGGAATGTTACAGAAGCATTAATCACTACTTGTCCTACAAGAACAGAAGAGAGGCGAAGGCTGCTTTTCAGTTAAAGGAAATACAACTTGATGAAGCCCACATCTCAATGAGTGGAATCTCAATATGCAAACTCCCAGCATGTTAATATGTGCACATCAGGCAAACAGGAATCCTATGCTATTCCCAAGCAATAGGAAGCTTTTAATATCACAGGACTCAGAAATTAGTTTTGGACCGGGTCAGTTTAAGAAAACCTGGTAAGTGATTAGTAAAATAGTTGTACCTATCACCTGCAGCAACTGCTTTTGTGAAGTAAAACTTCTCAGAAGCCAGACTATTCCTTCGTAGAAGGCACCTAGCCTGTATTAACCCCCATTGTAGATGTACTGTATGCTTGTGTTACAATATAATCTTGCATACTGTACACAGACTAGGGCAATGAGGAACACACACCAGCAATATTACTACTGCAGGTTTGCTTTTAATTAGGCAGCAGCTGCCAGATTAAAAAAAATATATACAGGCACTGAAGTTAATATAAAGGAGAATAAAAGGGAATCTTTTCATCAGAAGTAAAGGGAAACTAATGAGTTGGAGAAAGTAACGCAATAGTTTCCAAAGGTGATGACAAAAGAACCCTACTTTTGCATTTGTGATCCTAGCATCTAATACTGATAGAACACCCCTAAGCTCCAAAGTCTAAACCTCTTCAACCATGGCGCCAGCAGGTAGCACATGTCTTTGTGCTGGTGTAGGGTAACAGTCCATCCTTGTCTCAACCTTTGGTTTCTTTCCTCCTGCTGTAGAAAGCAAAGTAACTGCCAACAGTAACTATTGTGGGGGATAGAGGGTTAGTTAAGTGCCCCCCCCCCCCCTTCTGTATAATACTAGCTGAAAAAAATGTCCGTGGGAGTATTTAATTTTGACACTGTATGCTCTTGCCAATTTTTAATTTTTCAGATGTTTCCTTTCAGTCATCTGGATAGTTTGTTTGAGATTCATTCTTCAGCAATACTTGAGGAGCTGCCAACTAAAATCACAGAGCTCTCAACATGATCAGGCCCTCTTCTATACAGCTAGTCCCAAATGCTGGTTGTGGGGACTCTGTACAGGCTATGCGACTGAGATTTTGCTCACCTTGAGGTAGCAGTTTCACAGGCTGTAATAAGGGGATGTTATTTTGGAGCCTGAGGAAAAATCCTTGCACCACTCCCAACTGCTGGAACCTGTTGATATCATCTCAGCTTTATCATAGTTTAAAGCAAAGGGCTTCATCATTTCCTCAGGATTAACAGAAAGGTATCTCCTTAAAGTGCAGTACTACTGTCACAACTGATTGTAAAAATGATGTCTTCTTACTTAACAGAGCCACATGCTTTCTCCGCTGGGGGGGGGGAGGGAGGAGGGGGAGCTGGACTCTGTGGGTATGTGTACAGAGCAGGCATATGTACGAGTCACAATTATTTAAGAAGAGCTGTTAAATAGCAATAGTTTCCCCAATTTTGATATTCAAACAAAATGCATTGTCATCTGTAGAAATTAATGCAAAAAGCAGACTTTTGTTCTTTCTATCCTTGGCTCTTATTTGCTCCTGGGCTGGCATTTAGGAATTGTTTTCTCCTCAGACTCTCCTTGCCCCCAAGATGTAGTATGGAACTATCTTTTTCTTCTATGTTTGTACAGTGCCTAGCACAATGTGGTCCTGATCCATGACTGGGGTTCCTAAGTGCTATGATATAAATAATGATAAGGAAATGGAAGATCTTCTACACGTCCACCCAAACAGAGGCCCAGCAAATGGAATTTTTTCAAGAGCCAGGAGAGAGCACTTGCTCTACCCCAGCCTAACCAAACCCTAACTAGTATACTCTGAATAGCAAGTCTACTGTCAGTTCTGGACAATACAGGACATGGGTTTCTTTTCTATCTCTTTCAAACAGTGTGACATTTGTCCCCAGAAAGCATGCTGTCTCTGTTGAAGACAGAACCTGGTGCTAAGCTATACCAGCAAAGATTGTTCCATATTGAGAACAGGCATCACTCACCAGAAATGATTTTTTTTTTTGCTATATTTCTCTTTTTAAAAAATTATGTGACAAATAGCCTCCACTTTCATTGCAGTTAAGCAAAATGCTTCTGCAGGGAAGGTGCATCTGAAGAGCTGGAAATGAACAGTGACCAGATGGCTCCATGCTGGATGAAATCTGAGCAGCACATTCATGGATCAGCAGCTCTGTGGCCTAGTTCTATCCCATCTCCCCAGGAGGTAAAGTTGCCAAACCCTGGGGATACCTTGCACAGCCCAGATTTTTTTTAAAAGTCTTTTTTAAAATACAATAAAAATAGCAGATACTAAATAAATTCAACTATTTTTGCAGTTGGGTTTAAAAAAAATACACAACTTGTGTAACTAACAGATTCTGCTTTGGTTATTCAATAACTGTAACATTACCTTTGCACCCCACTCCATCATGCCATTTATGTTCAAAAAATCACATTAACCCAAAGAGGATACAGACAAGAGTCTTAGTCAAAATAAATTTGATTTTTTTTTTTTTTTTGAAAGAAGACGGTGAAGAAAACAGAAGAGAGACATTAACCAACTGCAACAGTTAGTGTTAACAAATGGGAGATTGGTAGTTAGTGTCAAATGCCACCTAATGTGAAACTTTCCCCACTGGGGAAAAAAAAGCAGGAGGCAAGTCCAGTTTGCTCCATTATAGTCCCAGGGTGGAGCAGCGCATACAACAGCACCTCTAACATCAGTCACTTTACACATATTCAAGTTTTACACATCTGCAAAACAGAAATAGTAGCAGCCATTTGGATGTTCTTTCTTAATGGTTCTCAGGGGTGGTCTAGGAAATTCCGAAGGGCCTGGTTCTTGAGACATAGAGCTGGAACTGCAGCTGCTGCTTCTGCTGCTGCTTCCAGCCACCTGTGCTCTGCCTCTGTCCTCAGCTGGGGAGATCTGGGGAGACCCAGGACTCAGGTACCCTGCTGTGGTCTGAGTAGAGGTGGTGGCATAGGTGGTTGGGCCAGTGTTGTTTTTCACATAAACATTTTTGATAGCCACCAGTGTGTGCGCCATAATACTGAGGCTGTTGCTGAGATCTTGCATGCCTTGTTGCAGCAGCCGAAGGTTGTGGTTGACACTGTCAAAGCCAGACTGGATCACCTGCATCTGGTTCTGCTGGATCTGCATTAGGTCCTCTTCAGTAATTTCATTTTGGTCTGTCTGAGACCGGCCTTTTGTTTTGGCTTTTACTTTCCCAGACAAGCCACCCCCAGCTGTTCCCAGAAAGGGCAGTTGCTCCTGGCTGGGTGGAACCACAGCCATGTCCTCAGAACTTTCTTCTGGCTCCACTACCTTCACTACTATTTCCTCTTTTAAATTCATCTTCTCAAGACAGGGTTGGTGGGATGGACCAGGATCATCTGTAAACCCTAAAAGGGCATGGAGGAGGGGAAAAAAAAACAGAAACAGGAGTCAACAAACTTCATTATCTCTGTGGTCAATCAAACCTCTGCCTGCCCAGTGGGCACTATTGGCATTTACGTGGTAGTTAATACTTCTGCTGTCAAGACTCTATAATGAAGACTTGTACTGTATTATCCCCTACCCTTGTAGCATAGGTATCATCTCCTTTGATAGAGAAAAAAATTGAAACATGCTCACTGTAAATGACATAGCTCTGAGTGATGCAAATCTCAGATTGAAATCACTTACTCCCCAATAGATCAGCCAAAAGCATTTGCTACAGAAGAGATTAAGTTCATTCCAAGCTCCTATTTTCCTCTCTCCCAGCTCAGCACAAGAAACCCAATATCTGCAAGGTAGAAACAAAGTGACATCCTATCTGAATTACTCCTCCTTGCCTGAAGTAAGATTCACTGCACTAGCTCATACCTTGCAGACCCATGCACAACAGGGTGTAATTTACCAGTTGGCTGCAGTTTACAAAGGCTGGAATTTGTATGGTGGAATGCAAGTGAGTGGAAGGAATGATCCAAATTTGCACATGTGCAGGTGGGTCTAATGCACCACATCCAAAATACATCTGTTCACTTTTCACAACGTATCATGCAAAACCTGCCAACAGTTCAGCATCTATGTGACTTAGGTGAGAGGAGAAAACCACTATAAGCAGAAATTATTTTGAAAAAATGGGTTTGTTGTACAGTACAGCATCCCTAACTTGCAAACAACTGGGACCTCTAGCAAATCAGCAAGTAACTGAAGACTTTTTTTTTTAATTGTTGAAGACAAGGATCTGCTTCTCAAATCATGCTGTGTTCTTTTCTTCTGACAACTATAATTACTTGTGACTTGATACTTTACACAGTCTACCCATAAGGCCAGATATTGTTCTATGAGGTTTCCCCCCCCTCTTTGAGGCACAGAATGAGAAGGTGAACTGATACTGCTTAAGACCCTGATCCTTACATTGCTTACCTTGACTATTAAGAGTAATCCCACTGAAATCAGTGGGACACCTTACAGGAATAAAGTTAAGCAGGTAAATAAGTATTTGCAGGTTCAGAGACTAACAATGCACTTTGCAGCTAGTTGTGCTGAGCATGAGAGAAACAGATTTAACACAAATTAAAAAAACCCATAATGTAAATTAATTCTTCACACAAACAAGATATACATCATGGCCCCTAAAACACTGGAAGAGGGGCGCCTCCCTGGAACAGAGACTGGCATAAGCAAGCACACGAAGCTTCAAGCCTAAGGCTGCCTGGGGTAAGTCCCTCTTACATCTGTGTCATTTGTACATTACACAACTGTCTCATGTGAGTAAACGGGAGTTGTGTGTGTGTGTGTGTGGGTGGGGGGTGCTCAGTGCTGCTCTGGATCTGTCTCTTAGGATGCACCTCAGGGACAGGCTGCAGACCAACATCTACCAGTGCTTAAAGTGAGGGAAGGAATCACACGGGGTCACCGACAGGGCAAAAAAAAAAATCATCATTAAGAATGAACCGGGTCACTGAGGGCTGGAAGGAAGCCGCGTTTTACCAAAGCTGCTGCTCCCAGCTAATGACAGGCGCCCCCTTTCAGCGCTGAACTGGGGGAAATAAGTACCCCACCGCGCAAATGCGGAGCCCTCCGGGCGCTGCACAGAGGCTGAGCTGGCCCCTCTGCGGGAGGGATGATCCGCTCTTCTGCTCAAGACAAGTGACCTGGAGGGGCTAATCCCCCAGCTCCATGGCAACGCCGACTCCCGCCGCGCCGGAGGCCCAGACCGGCGATGGGGGGCGGGGGGCCAGAAGGCGAGACCCGGCGGGGGGCGTGTGGGGCTCCGCTCCCCCCTCACCAGCCCCGGATCTCACCGATGTCCACCACGGAGGCTCCGGGCAGGTCCAGCGTGTCGATGCCGCCCACGATGGGCACGGCCTCGGCGGGGCCCAGCGCGGAGCCGTAGGCGCGGTGGTGGTCGGGCTGCGGGGTGGGCTGGGGCATCTCCTCTGTGCACAGCAGCAGGCCGAGCCCGCCGGGGTGGCCGGCGGGGCCGCAGCCCTGCGAGAGGCGGCAGAGCTTGCTGCGGTCGCGCCGCTTCAGGTCCCTCCAGCGCTTCTTGAGATCCTCCACGTCGCGGGGGCAGGCGGCCACCGGGTTCACCTTGTGCCGGATCAGCTCCCAGACCCGCCGCTTCTGGCCCGGGGAGGCGCGGCCCGGCCCCGCCGCGAACAGCAGCTGCTCGTGCTTCAGCACCTGCTCGATCAGCACCTCGGTCTCCGCCTCGTTGAAATTGGCCTTGCGCCGCTTGGGCGAGTCCTCGGCCATCATCCTCCCCGGCGGGCGGGGCCCGCGGGCCGCCGCGATCGGTGCGCGGCCGCCGCTAGGCCACAGCCCGGGCCCTGCTCGGGAGACCAACGCCGCGCACGAGAGCGGGGGACGCGCAAGCCCCCGGCGCAGGCGCCCCGCGCCCCGCTTGTTGACATGGGGAGAGGGCGGGAGTCGGTGTCCGGGCGGCCCCGCCCCGCGCAGGGAGCCGGCGCGCTCCGCTCCCCAATGGGAATCCCCGCTGCGACCCGCGTCCGCCCCACCTGGCCCCCAGCACCACCGGCACAGAGCGTTCTAGCCCCGCCCCTTTCTGGCGTCACAAGCACACCCCACGGCGCAAATCTGATCCCAATCTCTTCCCCCCCCAGGCCCAAGTAGGCTAGTGGCGGCGCCGTCCCCGCCCGCGTGGTACAGCATTCTAGCCCCGCCCACAGCTGGTGTCCCCCGCGCTCGGGGGCAGGCGGGGTCTGCCCCCACCCCCTGCCGCAGCCGCTCTTGTCCGCGCGCCGCGACGTGCGTTGTGCGCCTGCTCGGCGGGCGGCCGGGGCCGGGGATGGCGGCTGTTTTGGAGCTGCTGCTGCGGGAAGAGGTGGCGCCCGGCGCCGTGGTGCGGTGGCTCGACCACGGCCCCAGCCACTGCCCAGCCGAGGTAACGCGCAGCCCGGCAGCGTTGTGTGACGCCGCTCCGCCCTCAGCCCGGCAGCGAGGGGCCTGGGCCCGCTGCAGCCCCGACTCCCCGGCCCGGGCGGGCCAGGAGTCCTTGTGGCGTGGGGCGGCTGGAGACTGGCGTCTTGGGCTGCAGCCTGGCTGCCCCGGGGTGGCCTGTGGGCCACACGCCCAGCCCGCCGGGCGCCGCTCGCCTGAGCACGGAGCGCTGCTCCCTGGGGCTGCAGGGCTCCCTGCGCACTCGGGCCCCGGCGTGAGTCCAGGCGTACCGGGCGCAGCGTCACTGGAGGGGCATCCTGTGGCGGGGAGGGAACCTCGTGTCCTGCTCAGCACTGATCTGAGGGCAGCCCGGGCAGCCGAGGGGCCAAGGCGGGGACCGGGGCTCTCCACGGCGCAGGACAACTCATGAAGTTGGCACCCAGTGTGCTGGGCCCTGGCGGTGGTCAGCGCTTACAGGGCAGGAGGAAAATAATGCGGGAGGAGCAGCGGCGCTGGTAAAGAAGTGCTTGGGGCGTGTCCCTCCTCAGCAGTCCTGCCCCACTAATGCCTATATAAATAAAGTGGCAGGTGGGTGTGATCCTCTGCGTCCTCCCCATCCCCCCGCTTTCAGCACTGCCCGTAGTTTCCATGAGCTGTGTTAAGAGAAGGGTAGCTAAAGTTACGTTTTACATTAATTAGGTACAGCTTTTTGTTTCTGGCAGTTTGCCAGCCCTGGTGTGATCCACAAAACTGCTTGGTTATTATTTTGGTCTGTAGCCGCTGAGGCAGGCTTGGCCGAGTGAGAGCTGAGCAGGGAGTCCAGATAAACTCAGCCTGAGCTACAGATCCAAGTGTATGTACAGAATACTCACACAATTATCTTGTATTCCTGAAATATGGCTAAGCCTGTAGTTTGTGAGCTCCATCTGCTGGTTTTGCAGCAAGCTGTTATCAAACGCTATTTTAAAGGCACATTCTATTAACATCTTCTTATCAGCCTGATAAGCTAAGTGAGATCTAGCCTGGTTATTTACTTGAATAGGAGACTTCCAAAGAAATCCAGGTTGCTGCAGGAAGAGAGTGGCAATTTAATAGATGGCACTGATCCCTCTGAGTTAGTGCTGACTAATTACTCCAGTGGAGTGCTTGGGTACTGTGCTGCTGTCAGTGCTGTCTCTTGCATGAGATGTAAAACGCTTCATTAAAATCCCTTGGCATTTTTCATAAGTTAGAGGTGGTAAACACTATCTTTATCAAAGACCACCTCAGGTAATTACACTATTTCTCTTAGCTTCCTTTCTAAAACTGTTGTATAGCATTGCTGCTGAGCAGGTGCCACTTTCTAATGCCACAGTTACCGTGAATCAAGGAGTAGCTGAATTGATAGTAGTAATTGTTAAATACATTTACCTTTGTGATGTGTTTAGAATCTTTTTGGGAAGAAAAGTGCTGTATAAATGTAGTTTAATTATGTGATTGTAAATAAAAGGTGCCACCATGGGAGAAAAATCTATATCCTGTGGAAAAGAAGTCAAATCAAAAGACACTCACTGCAGTTTTGAAATAAAAATTAAAAAAGCAAGGGGAAAGAGATACAAATTGAGATATATTGTGAAGTCATTGTCGGTGCAGCTTCACCAGCTAGAAGAATATTGCTTAAAAGGGAGATTAGAGGTCTAGTGCGAGGGCACTGGACTGGGAATCAGGAGACCTGGATTCTATTCGTAGCTCTCCCCTGCCTTTCTGTGTCTCCTTGTATGTGTAGAGTGCCTAGCAGTGAGTCTTGGTTGGGGCCTCTCGGTTCTGTTGTAATACAAATAATAAATAAACATTGGTTGTGAGTGATTGTGTTTTTGGGATTGTATTTGAAAACAGACTTTGCACTTTATAGCATTTTCTGCTTAAAGACTTCAGTGTGCTTTACAAATATTAACTAACCCTCACAGCTGTCTCACTCATTAAGACACTACCCCTATGAGGTACACAAATAATATTTGCATATTCTTAGATGTTAAGGCCAGAAGAGAGTATTCAATCGTTTCGTCTGATCTCCTGTGTAACACAGACCTTAGAATTTCATCTAGTTACTCTTGCATTGTGAGTACATTTTACAGGTGGAAAACCTGATGGTCTGACAGGGTAACTGTCTTGGTGAAGGGTGCAGTCCTAGGATACATCAGGTGTGGTAGTTCTAGTAGAGATAGGGAAGTGTTAGTATCCTTATACAAGGCACTGGTGACACTTCATCTGGAATACTGTGTGCAATTCTAGTCTCCCATATTTAAGAAAGATGAATTCAAACTAGAACAAGTGCAGAGAAGGGGTACTAGGATGATCAGAGGAAGGGAAAACCTACCTTACAAGAAGAGCCTCGAGGAGCTTGGCTTGTTTAGCATAACCAAATGAAGGCTGAGAGGAGATATGATTGCTCTCTATACATACATCAGAGGGATAAATACCAGGAAGGGTGAGGAGTTAAGTGTCAATGTTGACCCAAGAACAAATGCGTATAAACTGGCCATCAACAAGTTTAGGCTTGAAATTAGATGAAGCACAGGCGTGGACTTTGTGATTTCCCTGGGGAGTGCTCGACACCACCCCCCGCTCTGCCCCAGACCCCATCCCCACTCCATCCCTTGCTCCACACCCCTACCCTGCCTGTTCCACCCCACCTCTGCTCCTCCACCCCCCAGCGCCTCTTGCATGGTGCTGAACAGCTGATCACCAGCGGGCGAGAGGCGCTGTGGAGGAGGGGGACGAGCTGATCAGCACAGCTGCCAGTGGCTGCTGAGCACCTGCTATTTTTTTCTGTGGATGCTCCAGCCCCAGAGCACGAAATCAAATGGAGGAGGAGTGAAGTTCTGAAGCAGCCGTCCGGGGGAGGTGGGTGGGTGGGTGAGCGTGCGTGTGAGAGAGAGAACCTAACTGGCTTCAAGACTGAGCATAAGTTTATGGCGGAGGGGATGGTATGATGAGATTGCCTACAATGGCACGTGGCCCATCTGCGACTGCTAGTAACAAATATCCCCATTGTCCAGAGATGGGACACTAGATGGGGAGGACTCTCAGTTGCTACAGAGAATTCTTTTGCAGGTGTCTGGCTGGCAGGTCTTGCTGATATGCTCAGGGTTCAACTGATCGCCATATTTGGAGTCGGGAAGGAATTTTTCCCTAGCTCAGATTGACAGAGACCCTGATGGGTTTTTGCCTTCCTCTGCAGCATGAGGCACGGTCACTTGCTGGTTTGAACTAGAGCAAATGGTGGATTCTCTGTAACTTGAAGTCTTTAAATGATTACTTGAGAACATCAGTAACTAAGCCAGAGGTTATGGATCTATTACGGGAGTGGGTGGTGAGGTTCTGTGTCTTATGGTGTGCGGGAGGTCAGACTACGTGATAGCGATGGATGCTTCAGGCCTTAATATCTAAGTCTAAGGGCATTTAGCAAGTCTGTATCAGAGCTGATAAAATCCAGGTCTGTTGACTGTCAGTTTTGTGCTCTAATTAGTAGAGACATTTTTGGAAAACAATGAACAGTGGAAAAGCAGAGAGAGACTTTACAGATTTTTCTTACTTGAGCGGGAAACTGAAATTCATTTGCATTCTCAGCCAAATCTCCCAGCATGTGCTTCTTGAAGGGCACATATATGAAGCAAAGGAAGATACCTCCTCTCCTAAGAAAAAGCTCCATAAAAATAAAGCACTTGCTGTCTTCTGAAATTCCTGCTTTCCATTTCACCAGGGTCTCACTTAGGGAAATAAAGCTTTTCCTCTTTGGATAGGGCCTAAGAGAGGAGAGCACAAGTATGACAATGTGGTTGCCAGGTCTCAGTACAAAAAAGAATTAGTATCCAAGAGAGTTCTTCTGGCAGTGTGTCTAACTTTGCCTAGTTCTGTTGTGAGGAAAATAGAAATGTGATGTACTGAAAGAGCAGAGTGACTTTTTTTACACTGCATACAAGGTTTTACAGTATTATAATAATTTTTAAAAGCCGATGGTAGAATTCTCAGATAATTTACAGATGTTACCCTTTTAAGGATTATGTTCCCATGAAGATTTAAAATATATTAATGTTGCATTTTTATTTAGCTTTCTTGAATATTAGTTTTGTGCATCATAAAAGTTGCAGCATACTATATTTGGAGCTCTGTGATCTCACAAGTGAATAATATAACTTCATTAAAATGTAGTAAGAGCTTTTCTCTTCTGTTGTGTCCTGCACGTGAGGATATCAAAGCATTATACAAACAATCATTTATTTTTGGAGCACCCTCTGAGGAAGTAGATGGTATTAGTAGGGAACTGGAACACGGAGAAGCTACAGGTTTAATAAATTGTCCACTAATTTTGTTTGCCTCAATTTTTGGCACCCTACTTGAAACATTTTAAAGGGGTCTGATCTTGAGGTTCTGATCACCCACAGCTCTTAATGACTAGGTGCAGTGGTGGGTGCTAAGCATTTTTGTCAGACAGGCCCCAATTGTTTCCAGCTGGGCAGCCAAAATTAGTGGCTGCTTTTGAAAATTTGGGCCTGAGGAATCATTGTCAGACTTGGGAATTCTGTAGAACCAAGAACTCCTGAATCTGTTCCTTGCTGTAACTACTAGAGACACTCCCT